TATGGTGTGTGGGTGGGTGTGTGGGTGTGTGTGTGTGTGCGTGCGCGTGTGCGTGTGCATACATATATATATATATATATATATATTATGTATATATGTATATATTTATATCTATATAATTTATATATATATATATAATAAATATATATATACATATATGTATATATATATATATGTGTGTGTGTGTGTGTGTGCGTGTGAATGTATGTTATGTATATATGTCTGCCTGTATGTATATCTTGTTATATTAGCATAGCAATATAGTTTTCTTTTTTTGTGTATGGCTAACAGATGCAGTGCAGACTTTACATGTTTAAACCATACGAGTTCAATGAACAAGATATGCGCAAGGGTGAGCATAAATACCGTAACGAGTAAGAAAACTATCAACACCATAGTAACTTATCAATGTAAAGTATTGAAATTTTGTCTTCTAACTATATTCGAGGTCATCACTAAACCATAGCACTATTCTGATATAGTACCTAATACCAATGATTCCTGTCTTATAGATTTATTCGTATTTATCACTTCAGCTAGGCTCTTCTATGTAGAGGTTATCCACATCGGCGTCTGTAACGAGCAACAGATTGCCACCGAGTTTGTTTAGGCATTTGTTCAGGTATTCTTGAGCCTGTATCAAGGCAAGTTAACGTCGCGAGAATTATGACAAGGGGAGCCCTACTCCATGTATACAAAAATGGGTGTACACGGATACTCCCATACACCTACTTGAGTATAAATACAAACAGTGTAAACAGACGGAAAAGAACCTCGACTACAACTACGCAGACCAGCACATATCGTCCCGTTTTCTTTTAACGCGTATTCGATCGATGTGCTACCGCCAGGCAACAGGTAAGAATACTCATAACATCATACACCATGCGCAAGCACTTGGTACGTACAAGCGCCGGGTATATACATCACTATGGGCGTACTATAAGACAGCTGAGTATATACACAACCATGAGCGTACTATAGAACAGCTGAGTATATACACAACCATGAGCGTACTATAGAACAGCTGAGTACATACACATCCATGAGCGTACTATAGAGCAGCTGAGTACATACACAACCACGAGCGTACTATAGAGCAGCTGAGTACATACACAACCATGAGCGTACTATAGAACAGCTGAGTATATACACAACCATGAGCGTACAATAGAACAGCTGAGTACATACACATCCATGAGCGTACTATAGAACAGCTGAGTACATACACAACCATGAGTGTACTATAAGACAGCTGAGTACATACACAGCCATGAGCGTACTATAGAACAGCTGAGTACATACACAACCATGAGCGTACTATAAGACAGCTGAGTATATACACAACCATGAGCGTACTATAGAACAGCTGAAAACATACACATCCATGAGCATACTATAAAGCAGCTGAGTACATACACAACTATGAGCGTACTATAGAGCCGCTGAGTACATACACGGCCATGAGCGTACTATAGAACAGCTGAGTACATACACAACCATGAGCGTACTATAGAACAGCCGAGTACATCCACACTGATGAGCTTGCGAGGGTTGTGATCTTGGAGTTTCGTGTGAGACATCCGTTCAGAATACGGCTGTAAGTATACTGACCCCTTCCTAGCCTGATAGACGCAGCGAGGACAACACAGGCACGCTACAAATATTATACCAAAGCCATTGGCGCATAAACCACTCTGGCACAGTGGGTAGATCAAGCCTCTTGCACATGGCACCTATAAATAGACGGACCATGTACTGGTGGCATATGACAGCTGCCAACGGTACACACCGCAACAATGACGGCTTACCTCGGGCGTATCTGTGAACTGGCGAGGCTTGCTGAACTTGGAGTCAAGGTTGTAATAGATACCGTTGATCTCCTTGATGCAAAACCAGTGATTGCTGAAGGAGATAGCGCCATTGCCCCGTACATTCACAATGATACCTTGTACCTGTGGATTCATATCCGATGTATTACAAGAACCTTAGACAGAGTTCATTCTTGTGCATAGTTCGTAGCCAGAGGGACTTGATCCGTCAACACTGATAGGTATGTATTCGTGGACTGTGGCACTACTATGGCTCACTTCGTCCGCACGAATTACATAGAAACATTGAAACATCTCATAATATATATATTTATATATATATGTATAAATATATATACATATATATATATATATATACATACATACATGCATATA